GAGACAGAGTCTCACTTTGTTGCCCAGGCTAGAGTGAGTGCCATGTCATCAGCCTAGCTCACAGCAACCTCAATCTCCTGGGCTCAAGCGATCCTACTGCCTCAACCTCCCAAGTAGCTGGGACTACAGGCATGTGCCACCATGCCTGGCTAATATTTCTTGCATATATATATTTTGTTGGTCAATTAATGTCTTTCTATTTTTGGTAGAGATGAAGTTTTGCTCAGGCTGGTTCAAACTCCTGACCTCGAGTGATCCCCCTGCCTCGGCCTCCCAGAGTGCTAGGATTACAGGAGTGAGCCACCTCGCCCGACCTCTTTTTTTATTTATAGAGAATATTTTCTTTTTTTTCCTTTCTCTTTTTCTTTCTTTTTAAAATGTGGACGGTATACCAGTAGCCCACATGTGTGGGGGAAAAGGAATATTTGTATGAACTATTATTGTGAAAGTGTATGTTGGTGCTGATCATTTGACAACAGTTTCTCTAATGTGAAATTGATTATACATTCACCTGAAGTGAGTTCACACCTGTGTACCTCTAAAATTACAAAAGAAACTGAAGTACATGAAAAATAGTTGTAGTGAGATGATATATATGATCCTGATGTGTTGTGTCAAAGATACCCTGCAGCCTTCTGCCATTGGCTTTGACATTTATACTCTCTTGGTCATCATTTGCCTCTTGGAATGCAGATCACTGTTTTCTTCATTGACAAGGATGTTCAAATTGGTATAGGTGTACATTTCCGTTTTAATTAAAATTATTTGAAAAGTAATCTCACTTTTGAGATTTTAACTTCATGTTGGAGAACCCCTGCCCCTCTATTTTATATCAGCATACTTCCGTCATGTTGCTGTCCTAACACTAGAAAAGCAAAAAAAAAAAAAAACCCCAAAACAAAATGAAATAACCTTACCATTTTCAAAGCCCTGTGTGAGGATTCAGATTGAGACTAATTTTTCTTTTGATACAGAGTCTCACTTTGTTGCCCACGCTAGAGTGAGTGCCATGGCGTCAGCCTAGGCTCACAGCAACCTCAAACTCCTGGCTCAAGCAATCCTGCTGCCTCAGCCTCCTGAGTAGCTGGGACTTACAGGAATGGCCACCATGGCTAATTTTTCTATATATATATTAGTTTAGTTGCCAATTAATTTCTTTCTATTATAGTAGAACGGGTCTCGCTCTTGCTCAGGCTGGTTTCGAAAATCTGCCTCGAGCAATCTGCCCGAGC